CATCAGCTGCAAACCTGCCAGAAAAAAGCTTCAAGCAGACAGTGCAGCCAGCATCTCTCCTCCTCCAGCCTTCCCCGGGGTGAGGAGGACATTTGTGTTCTCTGCTGCAAAACAACAATTTTTGCAGGACCCATTTGCCCTCTTTCTGCCCTCTCCCGTGGCTCTTCCCGCAGAGCATCTCCTCTTTTCACGCCCCCGGGTGTTAACGGCTGCTCCTCGCAACAGGATATGCCCACGAGTGACATCGAGCGCTGGTTCCGGCAAGTGGTGGCGGCAGTCGAGTGCGCAGGAAACGAGGCGAGCGCAGACCGCAGCCAGCACACGGCGAGGCTGGAGAAGATTTACCGCGCCATCCTCTGCCCCTTGCAAGCAGGTGAGCTCCTGGCCAGCCACGCACGGTGGGTTGAGGGAGCCTCCCTGCTGTGTCCTCGCCATTGCCCTCCCATAGCTGCGCATCCCCACCTCCTGTCTGCTTCCACTTTAGCAGCACCCATCGCCGGGGTCGGGTCCTTGCAGCCTGGCTCCTTGCAGCGACCCGATTGATGTCCAGGGTGGCAAACGGCACATGGCAGCGGAAGGCAGGTTTGTCACCTGAGGAGAGGAACTGTGGCCATCTCTGCTGCTAATTCAGCCGCCCTGAGGCCCGGACACATGGCTCCGTTGTTTGCAAAGGGTGCCATGGATGTCGAACAAGGCAGGTTGGACAGACTCTCTGGTGCTCTGCGGGTGTAGCCATGGCCTAGGCTGGGGAGACACTGTGCCTGAAGCCTCCTTGCACTGCTGTGGTGGACAGCGGTACTGCCACCTCCTTCCGTCCCTGGCACTGCTGTGCTCCAGCCTGGTGCCGCCGGGGCTACACGGACCGTAACAAACATCCCCATTCTCACATAGATCTGGGGCAGACCAGAGGGAAATGGGAGTCATGTTCCCCTCTTCCTGGCTGCTCCTGGTGGAAGGTCTCTGCATCCCAACCCCCGCCCTGGAAAGAGCTGGAGGCTGTCCCGGTGCAAGATGCGGGAAGGAACAGCCAGTGGTGCAAGGGAGAGGAGTGGGACCATCTCCTTTTGGTGGCAGTGAGCAGTTGTCTCACTGCTTCTCACAGAGCCATAATGGTTTAAAAATAGCCAGCGATGGTGGGGTCAGAGGGTTTCTTTGCATCTCAGCTGAGATTGGCAAGGGAGGTCCTGCCACGTGCATTGGAAGCCCAGTGCTAGAAGAATGTTTTATTTATTCTGCAATCCCTCTACTGCCTGCAGCAAAGCAAGGTCCTTCACTTGCCCGTGCCTCAGTTTCCCCGTCTTCATTTCTGCCTTCCACTGGCGGTGTAGGTACCTTCTTATGGCTCAGTCTGCGAGCGCAGAGGTCTGTGATTACAGCCTCACGTCTGGCCAGAGGACAGCCAGGGCCGGAGAGCCCCTGAGGCTCGGCAGGGACTATCTCAGCCGGGGGCTGAAGGTCAGCACCAGTGGAGGTTCCTGTGCCTGTGCGGGAAAACCGCTCCTGTGTGTTACAAGCATCCTTCTTTCCCCCAGGCAATGCTCACCTGGGCGGGCTGCAGGGTACCCCTCTGCCCAACCCCAACATCAGCTTTCACCTCTGGACAGAAGACGACCAGCTCTGTGAGTACCCCGGGGGGGCGGTGGCGAATTCGGGTGGTGCCTGAGGCTGGGAAGCCTCTGCAAAACATGTAATTTAGCCCTGATTCTTGAGCAGTGAGTTTCATAACCATCGCACAAGGGCCAAGCTTGTGGAGACTCGTGCTGACTGCACCAGCCTTCCTTCTCGTGGGGTGTTGGGGTCAGATCAGGGGATTGGCGGGGGGAGAGAGGCGAAGGAGATGAGGAGAGGACCCCTGTGGGACAGGCTGCAGCAGGATGCGCCCAAAGTACCTGAGTGATACTGAGCTCTCTTCATGGTGCAATGTGAAATGGGACTGAAAGACTGACTCCTCTTGGACCCTCTGGTGGAAGCATTGGCCCGACGGTTGGCAGGAGAAGAGGGGAGCTGGGACAGGACTAGGGCTCAGCCTGGCTTTGGTTGTATTTCTTTCCTCGAGCTCCCTTCTGCCTGCAGGGAAGGAATTGGTGCTGTTCATCCGCCCGCTGTCGCAGAGCTGCGAGCCTGACTGCCTAAGCCAGGACCTGGACAACTTCGAGATCCAGGACAACATTTCGGACTGCGAGTGCTGCGAGCAGACCCGCTTCTCTGTGCTCTCCACCGACAGCGGCATCGAACGAGACCTGCCCGTGGCAGTCGAGGAGCCCTTTGCCCCTTGCAGTGCCGAAACGGAGCAGTCCCGGCTCCACAGGAAGGGTGGCATTAAAAAAAAGCCGTCTCCGCTGGAGAGCGTGGCCTTCCTGCAGGCTGGCTGCAACAGCCCTGGGGCAAAGCCCCCGACGAAGCTGCAGAGGAGAGCGGGCACCCCCCCGGAGCCTGCAGCCCCGCTCCAGAGGCTGCACACTGCCCGCATCGTGCTGCTGGGGGACGACCGGATCCTGGGGCGCCTGGCCCGAGCCTACCACTCCTTGAGGTAACTGGTGGCCACAGACCCTTTGGCTCTGGGGGTGTGGGGGCAGGGAGGACAGAGCGGGGGCTTTGATCTTCAGCCTGTTGAAGCAGCCAAGATGGCTGGGGACAGGGTTGGGCTCCAGCGTTACCGGGGCAGGATGGGACCCAGGTGTTTTGCACCTAAATGTGTCTGATTTCACTAGCTGCACGGCATCGTTTTGCTCTGTTGGCCCAAATGATGCACACAGAGAGTTTTCCTCTTCTGTCTGTGGAATGGGTTAAATGAGCAATAAACGAGGCAAGACGTTTTCCTATGCAAAAGGGAAATATCCTGAAGAAAAGCTGTTTTCCAGCTGCCTCTTCCCAGCTGGCTCACCTGGGCCAGGAGAGCAGCGTGGCGTGGGTCTGGGTCACCGTGTAGGCAGCAGCCTGCGGAGCAG